AGCAACGTTTCAAGCTCATATCGATAAAACAGAATTTCTTCTAAAAAAAAACTTCAACTAAGAGCGTAATAAAATTAAACACGAACTATTAAAAATCGAATAACGTTAAATCTAATTTTCCTGATTTATAGATCCCATAAAATTCGCCTTTTTAAAGAAAATTTAGTGATATTCTCTCCCCTGAAGCCTGCTTTCATTTTATCGAAGGAATCGACACTCTGACTAACTTCCTTATTCTGTACTTATTTGCATATTTATATAAAACGTACGTGTGAGCCGCAAGAGTTATGCACCAGTTTACTTTCCACGGCATCTATTAGCACAGTGCTGCCCAAGCTTTATTCACGAGTAGAACAGACATTTCCCACTCTATCTCCTTTACACGTACCCTCTTCTGTTTTGCGCGAGTGTGTTAGAAAAAGAGAGATATCGTATCAGATCCGATAATATCTCTTCTGAACTCTCTTCATCTTCTAATAACGACGCTAGGAGGGAGGCAAAAGTGCGTAAGAAGGTTCACCCATGTACAGCACTGAGTTAGCAGACTCCATTTCTAAAATTATCCTTAGACTGTTTGTTTGCATACTTTAACTACTAAATGGTGCAAAACAATGTACTCCGATTGAAATTTCACGACAAAATTCGTGTATTAAGTAACAAAGAAGAACTCTGATTGATTAAACTCTTCTTAGAAAATAAAGTCGACCAGAGAATTAGACACTGAGAAATCGAAATTGTCGATTGTTTGATACAACGAACGAACGAAGAAAAATTGGTCGTATCTGAGAATGTCAACAGAATTATAAGTTAATCCGCCTAGGAATTTCTTATCCACAAAGACAGTTTAGTATTGGATGGTTTTTACTAACGTAATCGCTATGTTTGTATTACACGGAAGGTAATAAAAGATAGCTGACTACGGTAAATTTTGTACGTTTTCAATCGTAAATTTACAATTTACCACAAATTTACGAAATTTTCAGCGTAATCGTTGCTCTCTGTATACCTCGAAATAAATTGTTTAGTGAGAAGAGGAAAATGATGGTGTATTCGGAATATTTATGTAAATTGGTAGCATTTATCGACACTTAGACGTACATAATCGTACCGTTCGTTGGTAAATGTAACAAAGAAGAACTTGCAAACCATGGGAAGTGGGAAGAAATGAAATACAGAGGAGATTCGAACTGTCCTTGCATATGTAGAAGAAGAAATGTTGTATTTAAAAAATTGCGACAGCAGTAAAACGATGTCGAATGATTATTCGTAATTTATTAAACGATGTTCAAAATTATGGTGAAAAGAACGGTACTGCTCGATCTCCGGTATTATCTCTTCGCGGTAAACGTAAAATTTTACGAGTCGAATCTATGTAAATCTTATCTCACAGCGAGACAAAATGTTGAAATAGCGAATGTGGCATTTAAACAATCCATTTGGATACATTTCAGCATGGAAAACCAAAGGGAGAGCCACCCTTAACAGCGCGACATAAAGAAGATCGTCTGTGATTTGCAAAACAACCCGTACACTGAATGAAGAAACTGAGAAAAGTGATATTTTACAACGAAGAAGAATTTTTCTTAGATGATCCTGATGGATTTAATCACATAACACGTATCATGATATTCGAAAAGAGAAATGATCCAAAATACCACAGCCACGATGGAAAGACATGAAAATAATACTAAATTCGACTAAATGGTACAGAATATTCCCAAAATTCGTGCAAATTACGAAGAATATTTCTAGAGAAGAATTCTTTTTCCACCAATGCTTCCGATCATATCACAAAAGTTACGAAGCAATATTTTCCATCCGGGGACATCCCCGTTCTTCAATGGCTTGCTCGTTCCCCCAACTTAAATATAATTGAAAATTGTTGGGGCGAACTTGCGCAAGTAGTTCACAACAGTGAAAGGCAATTCGAAAACACCGTTCAATTAAAAACAGTGAAAATGTAGTAGGTTGTTGCAAATAAAAATTCCGAAATTACATAACTCGTCGCCATATTCTACGATTGAAGCAAATTCACCAAAAAAAAAAAAAAAAAAAAATAAAAACAGAGAATTCAACGTAAGATGAAAAATTTCAAATTTAATCAATTTCATCGTATCGTTGTCGCTCCTCCTACTGAAACAATTATTCTGAAATGTCCAAAGAAACAACGGTTCTACGTACTGTACATTACCATTATTTATAGCCACTCTAAGGCGGGTTTATACAGAGCCCGCATCGCCGTAAGAACTGTAAATCTACGATCGAGAATTTACAAATTTCACTTATTACTATCTTATCGAGAGGTGTAAAAAAAAAAAACTATCGCGCCTATGTACGATCGAGGTAAATTTCAATTACGCCCAGCGTCATAAATTACCCGAACGGCGAACATATCAATCTTCGAGCAGAGTGAAACACGGGCAATTCATTATCGGCCGAATGTATGTATGCGGGAACGGACGCCAATCTGTGCATTGAAAAATAGTTACGTTCCACCCGCGTTTTGTAGAACGGCGATCGCGTATCTGTATATAGACGATACCAGGAGATTCAACGTGCGTGACACACGCGACGCTTTTCATAAACTGCGAACTGTACAACAGCGTTTAACACATTAATGAACGTCTTACTTTTTCACGGATAACATGCTGACCTTGATAATTTATAAGTACGAGAAACCTTTCGTACTCTCTCTTGAACGATATACATGCAATATACATATATATATATGTATATCGTTACGTATTCTTGCGAGCGAAAGTAGTGTTTTCAAAAAAGAAAATGTTTTCATGCAACACGAAGTCAACCACGCTAATAATCATCTCGTGTGTCTAAATTGTAATTGAACGATTATAATAGTACTACATACCTCGTCGGAATGATCTACCACACAGTGCGACGAAACCGTTGCTCCACGTATATATATATGTATGTATATGTCACTATAGATGAAATATCCTATATATATTGTGTATATATATATATATATGTGTCTGTGATGTCACATTTCTATAGGTAAACGTTTTCACTGATCGTAGGTTAAGACGAGCACGAGTAAAGAGAAGAGGTCAACTTTTTTCCATGAAAATGCTCACGCATAATCGGTCAATACATCCATCCTCGTCCACGAGTACAGCAACACTGACCTGCCGTCATAGAGGGAGAGGAGAGCGGACCAGGTAACAGGACCTCTCTCGAGTGTTCCCTTCTTGTGTCCTCTTTCTTCTTTATTCACCACTCTATGTCTCCTTTTTCACCTTCTTTCTTCGTTTTTCTTCTTCTTCTCTTAATTTTTTCTCTCCCTTGTGTTTCTTTTTTTCTTTCTTTTCACCTTTGCCTTCTTCTTCTTCTCCTTTTTCTTTTTACGCTTTTACTCCTTTTCTGCTACCTTTGGTTTCTTTTTTCCTTCTTTCGCTTCTACTTCTTTCTCTTATTTCCCTTTTTTATGTTTGTCCTTCTAATATTTCTTCTTCGTTCCGCGTTTTTCTCGCATTTTTTTGCTCCTTCTTCTTCTTCGTTGCGTTTACGCTTCTTCGTGTTCCACTTCCAACTATTTTCTTTATGCAGGACGTCAGGTGTAGAAATAGAGAACTTCACTTCACTCTCCGATGTTATTTTTTGTTAGAATTTTGCAAACGTCTACTTGGACGAAGAAAGATTTTACGAGAATATCGAACGTGTTTAGAATTCGTCAAGAACGATGTACGTTTTTTTAAAATTATTTATTTTAAGTCGCATCGAACGCTAAAGTTGTGTTATCACCGACTCAATGTATTATTGATCAATCGTGTTATTATGATTTCTATTAGATATAAGATGCATTTGTAACGAAGAAAGTAAACATACAGATGTTTACAATCGTAACTTTTATATTCGGTAATTTTTGCAAAGAGACAATTATAGAGTTCGTTTTTTTTAAATAGAAGTGAAATCGCTATTGTCACAAATACGCATTAAGCATTGGATGAGTAAAACAGGTTTCCTGATAAACTGTCCCCGTTACATGCGAATGAAAAGATTAGCAAATAATAGCAAACGGAGACGTCTAAAATACGGTTAAACTACTAAATAGCTATAGACAGAATATTTAAACAAAAACCACATGAAAAATATCTATTGTAAATTAAATTTAGATGAATTATACAATGTATGTGATAATCATCTAAATTTCAATATTTTTAAATTATATTTTAATTCTTACACTGCGAACGTTATAATTTGTCACTAAAACGTACACGTTTCACAAATTCACAATTGCCACTGAAATCTCACAATTCACATTTTCCGTTTGTTTATCAATTTAAAAAACGAATTTAAATCTTCGACATATTAAAAATGTCGGTAGAGATGAAGCAAGAAAATTTCGATAGTATTTTACGATTCGATAAGTACACAATTTTCTTCGTTAAGAGTCCGATCACCTCTATTGATACATCGAAGCAGCAAGATCGATATCTCGACTAAACGAATAGGTCCTTACCTGCTGCCTACGCGTCCTAGCGGCTTTACATCGCTGTAACGCCGGTAATCCAGCGACCAGTAGCGTGCGCGCAACGAAGTTCACCGTCTTCTCTCGCAACCCTGTGTAGAGCATATTGCTCTCGTGTACAGAGAATGTATTGTTACGGTCATCAGCTGCTGTTTCGTTTCAAACGAGTACACTCTTCCTAGGTGGGGAGATACATTGAGGTTCCAGGGTACCAGATACGGAGGGGAACTTCAGAGAGCGCAAGAAGGGGGATTTGTTCCCTATTGTTCGTGCTGCGTATGCATGCAATTTTCACTCGATGATTGCCTCCATAAATTGAGTATTCGTCGTCTCTAAAACTTTCACAATATTAGGAGACGCAGTTTTTTTTTTTTAGCAAATTTCCATTAATTTTTTTTTTTTTTTTTGTACTCGAGTGTCATAAAGTTTCTACCATTTTTTCAAATAGGAAACGTAGATTAAAATTTTCATACTGTTGAGTTATTTCTTATTTTGTTGTTAATATTATTTTGTACAATATGTTTCTACGTAATTTATTATATTGCAATATTAATTTAGAAAACAAGCGTAATTACCATTTTTTTGTTTCGTTTATGCACTCAAAGTGTTATTAATGTAGCGTGGAAGACTTATGAACACATATAAATATGTCACTAATGTGAAATGTACCATCACGGAAGTGAAATTGAACTCCGTGGAAGCCTAGTTGTTTGTTAGTAACGACTCGAGTTAAAATACAGCTATAATATATGTAAACATGACTTTTTTTTGAATAATTATGTTTCTGCGTTTGAAAAAATATGTTCTTTCATATTAATCTCTAATAATATTATGTATTTGATAAAGCCTAAGTACTAAAAAAGCACAGATGAAAAATAGTTCTATTCCTTAATTGT